TATATATATATATATATATATATATATATATACGGCGTTGCTCCCACTGTAATGAGCCTTTGGTTGAGGCAGTAAAAGCCCTCTTCTGAAGGTCTGATCTTCTTCTGTGTGTGCGCTAGAAGTGGTTGGGCTCGCGTCATAGCTGGGGATTTGTGCGCTCGTTCTCAGGTCGCGTATATCCGTTGCTCGTACCCGATTCCGATACATATCACACATGTATGTATTCGGCGTGAACGAGAACAAAGATCGATAGCTAGTGACAATAAAGACGAACCAGGCTAAGCCGACAGTGAGAACTAACGAAATACAAAATCAGTCGGAATCGGCAAGAACAGTGAGCGACTGGATCGAGTGCGCGGTGAGCAGGGTCACGAAAACACCATATTCTCAATGGACGCCACAAGCGAAAAGGGTAAAATTTCTCTGTTTGGTGTAGTGATTTTGCTCGTGGGCTTGTTGTGGAACCATCACTGTGGTTTAAAGACAACGGTCGCGAAATCAGCAAAGCAAACAGAAGTTGAAGTCACGTGATTTCAAATGATAAGCTGCTGCAGTTGTGTGTTGCTAAGTTAACGATGATTTGTCGTTGGCTGCGTTACGTATTGACACCGGCCATTTTCAGCAAGATCCTCCTGCTCACAGACCAACAGAAAACATCCTTGTTGGGAGTCATCACCGGAGCGCATCTCACGAAACTCGGATAGTTTCCAAACCGCGACCTTCCGGCCAGTGCCTGAAGGCTTAACCCTTCGAACTGAACAGCAGTACAACCAGCGATATCATTCATTCTACAACCCGCCTATAAGTAGTTCCGGGGAAGGTTAACTTTACTGAATGTGTATAATTCCCTTCTGAGAATCCATCGATCGAAGAGCCACTCAACAGGCGTGGTCACGTGACGACGTGGCGTTATATCCTGTCTAGGTGAGAGCTGCTGATTTGGCACTCGTGGCCCAACGGTTACGTGTTCAACCAATGGCCGGAAGGTCGCGAGTTCGAAAGTCTCTGAGTTCCGAGAGGTGCGCACTGCTGGAACACGTGTACAATGCTTCTCGGCTTTTCAGTATAGGTTGGTTTCACTGACGGGACGAAAGCTCGATGGGGCATTAACAAATCTCCCCTCATCATCCATCAACACAAATCAGTCGAAGTTTAGAGTGACTTACCCCGATGTTTTCTCCAAAAAGGTCAGCATACTGTTCTGATAGCCGACCAGCGCGTGACTGAGCATATTGCAGCGGCTAGCAGAGAGTAAGTCAATTTTCTGCATACTGTCAATCTTTAGCCGATCGAAGGTGGATTTGGTCTTGCGAACCTTGGGCAGGAGGGGAAATCGAGTCCGAAACATTAAGGAAACGGAGAGAACATCGTCATAGTCGGTCAAAATTTTAACGAAAGCTAGACCTTGTAATTCCAGTTTATGCTGAGTGCATTCTTAAATGATCCGCAGAGAGTACAAGGTTCAGGGCTGAGGACGATCAATAGAAATGCATTGGAATAGACAAGTTAGAAAACTACTTTTGACCGCCTCCCCGTTGTACTATTCAAGACAAACTTATTGTCCCATTAGTCTACTCAACTGGGAGTCTGGTAAAATGAAACGGATTAACCTTCGAGATAATTGGTTTCAGAGTTGACTCGCCAAGCGAGACGGAGGAAGAGAGATTGAAAGCTAAAGACACAAAGTAAAGTGTGCTCTAAAAGTGTGAAATGTTGATCAGGTCAACGTCGGTGAACAATGGGAATATATCGCCGGTGGAGTGATACAACCAAGCTCGAGATGGCTCAGTGGTTAAGACGCGACGTTACCAAGGGAAAGGTCCGTGGTTCGAACCCGACCTCTGCATCTCGACTGCTCCTGTCCGGGCCTGAGCAACCCGACAGTATCTCAGACTTCGAGCTTCCTTCGGATAGCACGGCAGCTAGGCACCGAAAGAGCGGTAGATCTGAACGATTATCCACCGAGGCGTGCGCATAATGTTCGGTCACACTTTTCGTTTGAGGTTATGACCGATGAACATCGGGCTTCTAGCACTCACACAATACAGTCGTCATACGTTGAATACTGGTGTGAAACAGTTTTCGAAAGAAGTCATCTACAAGTAACGCCTGTGAAGGATACGGTTATTGATCTGCTCACCGAGTGAGAACGTGAATAGTTTGTCACGGGTTTGTCAAATAGATCAGCTGCGCATTCTGATGGAGTGCTGTGTACCCAGCTGAGTTATCGGGAATGCAAGGTAAGAGGATGTTGCGAAGCGTGTTGAAGTATGGGACCAGGACACTCCTGGGCGAATGGACGGATTCGACTCTCATCATCATCATCATCATCATCATTGACCGCATAACATCAGGGTTCAGTAATGACGCTTCGTTGCCGCACAACCATGACTGGTTCAACTGTCCTCAAGCCGAGCTTCACAATGATGCACATCGCTCTGACCTGCTTTATTCATTTCGTTTTTCTACTTCTGTATAAACTTGACCCCTTCTAACAGTGTAACTGAATTTTAGAGTGAGTTATCAGATGGAGGCAAGCCCAAATTATACGCCCCACGGATCATGTAATGCGAAGTGCTCGATTATTGTATCCCATTTGGGTAAACGAAACACCAGTAGGGTACCAGAACGTGTAAACTCTTTCAATGCAGATTCAGGGAAACTCGACTTCCATGCTGCATCAGGCAAACTACTAACCGAAGGTCGCCGCGGTTCGAGACCTTCTCAGGCTTGGTGACATGCACGGGGCTGATGATTCCCAGTGAGGATGAAACCGTTGCACAGTGGTTCTCGGCTATTCGGCAAAGACTGGCTTCACGTAAAGGATAAAATCTCCATTAAAACTAAGGATGCGACGAATACACTCATTTGCTAATCAGTTTGGTTTTCACGAGAGAGTCAAGTGAACCTCTTGTTTATGATGTTCTTCAACTGAATGTGCTGCACACAGACCGCCTCAGGTTTTAGTTGGTACGATTTCCTTTATGAAAATATACTGCGATATCCTGAATATCTCACCAACTGAAGCATGAGGCGACCTGCGTGCGGCACATTCAGTTGAAGAATATCATAAACGAGAGATTCGGTTGATTCTCTTGTGAAAACCAAATTGATTTGCAAATAAGTGTATTGGTCGCAATCAGTCCCGATTTCGGTTCAAGTAGAACATAAGGTTGACGGAAACTCGGGGACTGCGTCTACCTGATAAGCCCCAAGAAGGGCGAAGCCGGTTGTGGGCTGTCGAAGAGTTTTCAGCAAACTTGTGAGTAGCTTCCTTCATAGAGGAAGGATGGACAACTGGGAGTGGATCACATGTTTGATAGGGGTCGCTGAAGATGTCCTGCTATGCCGGTGCTGTCTTTTGGCACCTGCTTGCTGCATCGATTTAGGTAAGAGTCGAAAGCCGGATGGTTCGTCAAGCTCGGCAACAGTCAAGGTGAGGAAACATGCGCAACGGTCCTCCAAAGTTTCGGCATGGAGAAGAGTAAATTCGTCCCCCAAGTGAGATGCTCTCAAATGGTCTGCTACCAGATAGTCTCTACTGAGGAATTCTTACTGGCTGCCTTCTGATGGCCGAGGAGTTTCCATCACTGAAAGGGCGTCCCATAACGAGAATGACAGTTCATTATACATCTTGGGTGAGTCGGTTAGAAAGCCTGATTTCAAACTGTCATTGGCGAGCATGTCAAAGCAGATCCAATGGTATGAAAGGATGAGATCAAATTTGGTCCAACAGCTCCACTCATACTGTTGCGCTGAAGTTCGGTTGTCCTGGAGTGACCAGAAAGCAAGCACAAACATAACTCAGTCTTAGGAAACTTGATCGGGTTGGTTGTTGGAATGTAAGCACCCTCTTGGATGTTCGAAGCCAAGCCACTGCCATGCGAGCTCTCCACGATGATGCGATTGATAAACACGAAGTACGGAAACCTGGACACAGTTACCGTTTGCCTCTACCGCAGTGATTTACAAGAAAGTTCCGGTCAATATGGTATAGCCTTGGAACCCAATAACCGGACCCTAAATGTTCTGTCGGTTCGAGGACTGCACCACAAAGGTCCAAAGGTTCATCATTCGACGACAATGTCGCGGCCATACACGCACTAAGACTCGGTTCCGGACAGCACACCAAAGGTGAGTTCGGTGGAGTTGTTGGAGAATATAGATAGTTTGGGTGCATTGCTGGTCGTTCTGTTCGCCGCAATCCAGTTCGGCGAACAGACCAACAACCAAAGACGAGTTTCACGACGCTTTGAGAAGTGGTTGGCAAAATACTGAGAAGTGACTGGAATGAACGCGCCGGACGGTGGCTCCACGCGTCACATTCTTGGAAAGTACGATATCGGAGCTTGCTGTGAAAATGGTAACAGGATTGTTAACTTCGCTGATTTTAATCGTGTGTTGTGCGTCACCAGCACACGCATCCGACAAGTAAGAAGCACCTGTCAACTTGTTACTGAAACGATCGGCACAGATCTGATAAGATTGACTGTATCCAAATGGAATCCAGCTGGAGGGCATACGCAAGAGATTCCCGTTCATTCAGAGGAGCATAACAGAAACACACTGCGGTAATAAAATGATAATCGTTAAGCTGTAACACCCTTTCGGTGCTTAGGTGCAATGCCACCCGAAGTTAGCACGAGGGCTGGGATACTGCCAGGTTGCCCAAGCCTAGACAGAGGAAGTCAAGAGGCAGAGGTCGGGTTCGAACCATGGACCTTCCAAGCAGTAAACTGGCGCTATATAACCACTGAGCCATCTCGTCCCCCAATCAGACTGCACTCTCGCACGAACAAAGCTTGGGTTTCGTCTGAGAGCTCGTCCCGTTAGAAAATACAATACAATACTAACTGGGCAAGCGGCGAACTCCATGTAACGCCGTCCACGAAAAAAAATCGAAGCATATCCAGTAGTGCTCGACGACGTCAAGGCTCAATGGCTAAGTGCAGCAGCTGCAATTCAGAGTGCTGCTACTAGGAGCCTAGGAACTACACCACGTCAGTAGAAGGACTGGATCTCAAAGGGCCAAGCCAAACTACTGCGTATTCGGTGGCCAGCCGTCCCTAAAAACCGATCACATCATTTGGACGGATGTCACGTACAGGACACGGACCAAACGAAGGCATGCTCTGATTAGTCAGAAGGCAAGCCAATCGGGACTGAGCATTTTTGACTCGACGATTCTCGCCCCGTCACGGTGATTCTAGCACGACCTTGTAGAACACTCTGTAACTACCCTATAAATACAGATCTAATGATTCTTCTTTTGTCTCCATAAAGGGCTGTGTAGAGCCACTGTGCCTTTCGATATATGATGGTGGGCGGAGCAGGAAGCCAAGGGACCAACACAGAGTTGCACTACCGTTCAGCAAGACTCAACACTAAGCGACCGAATCTGTCAAGACCAACGGAAGTTGCGACCACTAGGGAAACTGCATAAAACGTCGGTGACTCTTAGAAGCTGTTTCGCATTTTGTGACAAGCCTCTGGAAAATAGTTGCCCACTCAGTCCGCTCTACAAATTACATTTGGTGCAACCGTTCCGGACACCAGGGGGGGATTTTCGATGGGCAGAACATTTTAAGATATCTTTCATTCGTACGTCTCCACTCTGAGTTCTCTTATTTTTCATACGACGTTGGCTGTTGTCCTCCAGCAAAAGATGAATCACCGATCGACCGCAAAGTCACAAATCCTCTAGTGAAGATGGCATTCCGTCCTCGTGCCAGTCTGGGGCATCGAAGTGTTGTCATACTACTGGAGTACCTCTGTTCTACTAACGCTTCACAAACAGGGTGACAAATAGCGTGTTCAGACAGTCCAGTGGTTAAGGCGCAAAACCACCGATCGGGGGTGGGGGGGTCCGTGGTTTGAACCCAAACACGGCATCTTGACTGATCCTGTCTAGGCTTAGACAACTTGGCAGTATCTCACTCCGGTGGCAGGTCAGCTAGGCACGGAAAGGGTGCCATCGCTCTGCTAGCAAAGGACATTCATGCAACGAACCGAACCAGGCAAGTTTTCATCCAAGAAAAGAAAGCACGGACCAAATCTTTATCTGAGTTCCAGGACGAAGAGAAATATCAAAAGCCAACAGTGGACTGCTTCATCGAGTTTCGGTGGGAGTTTTATTGTGTGGACCAAAAAGTGTTATGGGACAACTTGGAATCAGACGGTATCCATTCGAAGTTAATCGGGTTGGTGAGATTTTACTACAAGGGCATGTGTTCGCATGTGCGACGAAGAACTGTCTGCTCGCTGCCTACGGTTCGGCAGGCTGTCCGCTGTCTTTTACGCTGTTCAACCGTGCAGTTTACTGGAGAATGCGCCATGCAGTGGCGGTTGGACGGAATGTATCAATCGACATGGTGATCCTCGCAAGGGATCACCGCAATCTACGGCAGGTCTTCAATAGAACCTGCAGTGCGCCTCTTACGTCGCCATTGAAGTCGATACCTCGAGAATGAATGTCTTTCCACCATCACTACTCAGCCCTGGCGCTAAGGAATGTTTGCGCGCTCACAAGAATAGGCTCCGAAAGGTCAGACTAAGAATGAAGTCAAAATCCGTGCGGTAATGCTCGCAGAGAGTTCCTACAGCGGAAGAGTGTACTAGAGAAAGGAGACTAAGGTCCGAATCTGTTAGTTTTCCATCCGATCTGCCTTATTTTATGCTGGCGAATCATCGCCGACGTGTCTCAGACACTCGTAGGCTGAAGATTTCCAACCACTGGTGTTTGAAAAAGATCCTCAGAGTACGTATCCAAGAGTGCTAGCCCAGTGAAAAGGTCCGCAGTCGTGGAAGTGGCATCGCTCAACTAGAGAGGTCAGATCTGATCATCGCCATCCAAGCACGGACCTGAGACGTTCTTGCTGGTAAACCGTGCCAGCGGTACCGTAGTCAGCTGAAAGCCTGGGCTGATGTCGAATATCTCAGTCTACCTACCCGCGCAACTGCAATAAATTTTGAACCGATATCGGCGAGAACTTTGTGGTGGTGACCATATCCTCTTCCAGAACTTATGTCTACTAGGTGACCCAAAACCGAGTTGTTGGTGGGCTGTCCGAGGATTCTCGCCGATCCATCGCAATGCAACTGGCTAAGGTTTTGTAGATTGGCCACGCGCTTGGATATTACCGTGACCTTCAAGTATAAAGCTACTGACTGTCCCTCAGTCGGACACGTGTGGATAGACGGTTATCTGGCGGCATGTTCTTTTCTTGAAACCGAACAGGATAGTCACTGTCGTCAGGGGTGTGTACCAGTAACTGGATCTATTCGCGGGGTATCCTGTGTGCATGTTAACAGAAGCTAGAACACACTGAATTTCTTCCAATGCCAGAAGAAACAACACACGAGAAGTTAGTGTATCACCACCCCATTCAAGCTGGACTTCTGCAGATGGAGTTTTGTGGTGCCCTGTTAGGGGGCAAGAAAACCTAGTTTCAACCGGGTAAAACCGGTATTCAAAGGTAGATTAATGGAAACAGACAGGAAACCAATGTGACGTTGATAAGCTGTCACTAGTCACAAAGGAACACTCGAATGGTCAGAGTTGTAAAAAAAATACAAGCCAAATCTTTTCTAAAGGAGAAGGCAAAACTGAAGCCAACCGCTTGGTGGTTTAATCGTGTGTTGTTTCTGTCTTAGAGATGGAACGAACTAGTCCACTTTCGGACACAAACGAATCACTCACCTGAGCCTGCACACAGCGAAATTTTTCCAACTGTTTGTATGTGTCTGGATCCAGTTCTTCGCTCACGTTCTTCATCCACAGTAATGCACCTCGATACTCTGTACGAGCAGCTTCCATTCGCTTCAAAGTCCCTATCGTGTCAGCGATGGCCCGCTGCCGGAATGTTTTGACCTCTTGGAACACTCGATCAAGAGGGGTGCGTAATTGCAACCTGGATGAGATAGAAGTGTGAATGGCTTCAGTGTGGCCAAAAACACATTGAACACAAATCAAAGATCATCAGAATTGTCAACAATATCCGATTTCTGAAGATTATCCCGGAGTACTTTACTGAGACCCTCAAACTCCGCTAAGCGCCGATCAGACAGTGTTGGATCGAGGTAAGACAGTGTCTCTAAAAGCATAGCGCGAGGCCCCTGAACTTGAACGCTAGCGCTTGTTAGGAATAAAGCTGTTATGTCCCTTGCCGGTGAGTGTAGTTACGGCACTGGGCACTAGAGCGTGGGCAGCAATCAGATATAACAAGAAAATACTGTGAATGTGGACTGATTACCGCTACCTCGTCAGGGCACTTTAAAGGCGCCCGAAGGGTTCAGTTTTAACAGTCGCTTAGGCAGTTGTGAATGGTTTCATCACTCACGATGGCCGTTTCATGGCGTCTGAAGAGAATGACTAAGATCGTTCAGCTGAAGCAGCCTTTCGATACCCAACTTCCACATCATCCGCACGAAGCATGAGAGCCAAGATACTGTCAGGTTGCCCAAGTCTAGACAGGAAAAGTCGAGATTCCTCAGGTTGGTTTCGAACCACGGGTCCCGTAAGTTTGTGCCCTGACCGCTGAGCTATCTTGAGCTCAGGACAAAGTGTTTTTTCCATAGACAACCACTCTGGTCCGCAATAACGAGAGCAACAGACGAGGTCTACGACACACTGTTTAGACTTAGGCTTAGCCCAAAAGCCACATGGGTGAGATGGTTTAAGTCGTCAGAGTGCGAATTTACTGACCGGAAGGTCCGTGGTTCGCACCCGAACTCTTCCTCTCGACTTTTCCTGTCTAGGCTTGGGCGATTTGGCAGTATCCTAGCCCTTGTGGCATGGCAGTTAGGCACCGAAAGGGTGCTACAGCTGAACGATTTTTTTCCCAAAAGTCTAGGGTATGTGCAGAGGTTAGACTCCTCATCCTCACTCCGCAAACCTGTCACAGGAGTAACAATTTGGGAAGTCCTGATGGCAGTTGCAAACGCGTGCGCGCGAATTTACTGACCGGAAGGTCCGTGGTTCGAACCCGAACTCTTCCTCTCGACTTTTCCTGTGTAGGCTTGGGCGATTTGGCAGGATCCCAGACCTCGTGCTCGCTTCTAGTGGCATAGCAGTTAGACCCCGAAAGGGTGCTACAGTTAAGATCTGAATTAAAAACACGTACCGATGGGGCAATGAAAAATGTAGCTCCGGAGGTGATTTCCTTCATTCTGACAAGGAATGTAAAACACCAGCTGAAGTGCATTAAACTTGGAATTTTGGATAACTGTCCTGAAGCACGGATGGATTAGAAGGCAGCCGCAAGTGGGTCATGAAACCCATACTAAAAACTGCTTACGGGTAACAGGATTCATCGACGGTTGCAGTGTCTCGTGTCAATACTCTCCATTCTGATAACTGAGTAAAAGAATTCCTCACCCAGTGATCAAGCATACTAAGCTACTTGTTTACAGGCACAGGAGGATACGTATGAGCACATTGTTGTTGTCAGATGTTAACAAACGAAACGGCAAAAAGTCAGTTTGCCACCATTACGTTCCGCGCGCACAGTCAGTAGCCGAAAGTGCGTACAACAGGGGGCGACAATCGGTAAGGTGACAGTGAACTGCGATCGATTTACATGAGTGTGAATGGACCGGTGTGTGAGTGGATGCGAATGTGTGTGTGTAAAGAGCCATAAAATACTGTGCAGAAAACGGGAACAGGGATTATGGTGAGATCAAAGACAGCAACACCAGTGTTGACACTGATGCTTCCCTACCGTCCAACCCTAAAGCTCATCTAATTATAGTTGAAGCCCTAGAGTGAAAAGAAATGAAAAAAAGGGTTACGGAGGGGAACTAGCGCTGGGCTATGCCAATGCATTCTGGGGTTCCTACAGGTCTAAGTGCTTAATCAGACAAACTGGAAAGAAACTGACTACACGAACGCCACTGACATCGAGTAGCCGTCATTTCTTGCAATGTCTCCAGCCAAGCAATGGTGGGGTCATGGGGACATCATCCTGGTGCATAACATAGAACTCTTCGTGATCTTTGGGGGTTTGCGGGATAGGTATTTCATTCATAGTCGTACCACTCTCGTTTGAACGGTCGTGTTCCTGTTCTGGCGTAATTATTCCGGTGAGTCCACACGAAAGGGAAGCACTGGACTCGAGTTTCGCTCTTATTAGAGCTCATCAGCAGTGCATATCCAATGGCCGTATCGGGATTTGAACCCCCGACTCATCGAACGACGACCCAGTGACTGTCCTGGTTGTGACGATCGGTTGACCCGCCAGTCAGGACTTCCCGGTGGTGTGGACTCACCGGAATAATTACACCAGAACAGGAACACGACCGTTCAAACGAGCGTGGTGTGACTATGAACAAAATACCTGTTCCGCAAAACCCCGAAATTGCAGCCAAAAAGTTGCCCAGTGGGTTTCAAGCGTGTGCCACGCTACCTAACTGGGAAGTCCTGACTGGCGGGTCAATCGATCGTCACAACCAGGACAGTCACTGGGTCGTCGTTCGTCAGGACAGGAACACGACCGTTCTTCGAGTTCTCTTTCACATCCTCCTGCCAAGTCATGCGTTGTCCACTTCGCAGTTTGCGTCATTCTGAAGGAGGCACGGAGAACAACACTCGTCTCGGTAGACGGTGTTTCGGCATACGTAGCACATAACCGAGCCATCGTAGCCGGTGATTCTGTATGTTTTCCACGATTGAAGTAACTGCCGCACAATCAAATACCGGCGTCCTAATCACCTCGTTGCTAACACACTGACGCCATCCAACATTAGCCACGCTTTTGAGTAGCAAGTGGTCAAATACCTGAAGACGCCTCACATCACCTGTCCGCATAGGCCACGTCTTGCACCCATACGACAACACAGCCCTTACTGTAGCCCAATACACGCGACCCTTAAGATCTAGTGAGATGCGTTTTTGACGCCACAAGTGACGTAAATTAGCAAACGTGATTCGAGCCTTTGCGATTCTTGCACCAACTTCATCAGACACACTTCCACCAGAGCTAATGCCACTACCGAGGTATGTAAGGTTCTCCTCAACCTCCAGTGACTCTCTTTGAATTGTCGTGGGATATGTTCACAGACTACGTTTTGAAGCATGACTTTGCACTTTGAAGGTGCGAGGCGCATGCCAAATGATGGAATGATGGTGGTCAGTCTATCTAACAGGGTTTGTGCCTCGCTTTGGTCTTCAAAGATGAGGGCAATATGATCTGCGTACCCCAGATTAACAAGGTTCTCACCAGAAACAATTTGAACGCCGGGGTTTTCAAGACCTTTCAGCGTTTGCCTCATTATTTTATCAATGATGAGGTTGAACAAGAATGGAGAGAGTGGACATCCTTGTCTGACACCCATTTTTGTAGGGAAGCTTTTGGAGAGCTCAACATACACTCATCCGCCCAGAAGTATGCGAACATGGGAATCGGATTATGTTTACAAACTTATGGGACATAACTTGTTGAGCAAGTTTACATCACTGACCGATAGACAGAATCGAACGTACCCTTGGATTCGAGAGATACCAAGACTGTGGGTCGTCTGAACATGTGGCGTTGCTCTAACACCTGATGGAGTGTGAAAAGTGGTCAAAGCAGCCCCTACCCGGTCGAAATCCCGCTCGATTCTCACGAGTCAAGGTTTTGCGTGCCACTGTAAGACGACGAATAATCAGTGACGCCAGAAGCCTTGTCACAAGAGGCGTCAAACTAACACCTCTGTGGTCACCACACTCATTGGGAGTACCATTTTGGAAAATGGGCACTACTATAGATTCACTCCAGTTGTCTGGGACGGTCTTCTTCTCCCAGATAGACCCAAATAGGATAGACAGGCACTGGCTGAGAAGTCCACCGCCATCCTTGAAAAGAGCAGGTGGAAGGTCATCAGGACCAGCAGCACGATGACGCTCGAGTAGGGAAATACACTGGGATACTTCTGAGACTAAAGGCGGCTCCATATTCACGATCCACCTTTCCGTTAGAGACCAGAATTCTGGATTGGAGGTAGCAGGTGGCCAGCTGAATAACTGTTGGAAGTACTGTGCCCGGCGGTCCAAACGCTCTGCTTTGCTGCATATCAGAGAGCCATTTTGGTCTCTGATTATTTCGCTTACAAGAGTTTTCCGAGGACCAGTCGAACGAATCAAGTGGAACAGTTTGCTCACGCTTCCAGCGTTCTTTGCATCTTCTATTTCCTTGACCTTTCGGGTCCACCAGGTCTCTCGGTCTGGCGTCAGATGATGCGTCGGGTGGAGTTGTGACTGCGTCCAGGATGGATCCGTCACCGGGTCTCCAGCAAAGACACGGTCCTATCAGAAATCCAATGTTTGGATTAGGTAGGCTGGGTTGTACCGCAAACAGATGTTCTGCAGTGGCTAAGCGAAGTGTGCGCGTTTGGCGTACGCCTGAAAAGCGCAGTAAAAAGCAGCAATGTACGAGTGCAAAGTCGGAGTCCATGTTGGTGTTCCAGAAGAACCGGCAGGTGGTGATCGACCCTCGCCACCGGTGATTGACGGCGATGTGGTCTATTTGGATTCGGGACCGGTTGGTAGGTGGTTGTGAAGCGATTTCCGCTATTCCGGAAATTCTTGCTGCAAAGAAACATCTGAAGCTAGCGATCCCCGTTGTTGGTGCGTCTTGTGTCCACCCAATCTGGCCTCAGCAGCGCTTAGTCTACCTACCTGGGTGTTCATATCACCAGCAACCACAACGATATCTGAGCTTTTAGCCTGTTGTAGAAGGGCACCTAGAGCTTCAGCAAAAACTGTCCTTGGCGGATCCAGAGCTACAGTCAGTTGGGGTGTAAGCAGACACAATAAACAAAGCGCGATGAACCTCACTCGCTGTAGATTCTCTCACAGATGTTACCAAACGAACTGCACAGAGGCGACTATCAACAGGTAACCAATCAAGCAGAGACACTTCAGCTCGGTCGC